GCTTGGAAGCTTGGAATTGCATCTAAGATTGAAGAATTTGAAAGGGAGCTCAAGTTCTTGAAGAATTTTTGTCATGACCCGAACCCGTCCCCATGGGTTAAGGACATAACCAGCCAGTAATCACAGGATTACCTACGGCCTTAAACTAAATCAGATATGTTTTAACAGAGTTAAGGGGGACCAAACGGAAGCAATTTCAAACTTTTGTCCATAGAGCTGTGCTTATATGGCACGTCATAACATTTCTCAAACATACATTAATAACTCACATCAAGGAAAGTTAACATATAAGCTTTACACAACAAGATCATCCTAGTCATGGTCAGCCAATCAAAACTATATACAACCGTAATCCAAAGTTCTCACCAACATGACAAAATATAACCAAATAGCAAAAGGGCGAAAACAAGTCTCGTGCGTGAGACGGATAGGCTGACTCTTCAAAACCTTGACTGTTTCACACAAACTTTACTGAGGCTGGGTTTGGACCTCCCTTGGCTCACCTACAGACACATGAATGAGCGTGAGCGAAAGCCCAGTGAATAATATCAAATAAAGAAGATACACGAACGGTATTTAGAACAACATACATCAGACTGCCTTGGGCCCAATTCATATTTCTATCTAGTATATATACATATACATATAGGTCAAGTGACTGCGGTTCCAACACATCAATCGGCCTCGGGCCCAATTCATTCACATCCGACGGCCTTTGGCCCAATCGTTCCTGTCCGAGGGCCTTTGGCCCAATCATTTGCGTCAAATGACCTTTGGCCCATTCATTCATGTCTAACGGCCTTTGGCCCATTCATTCGTGTCAGACGGCCTTTGGCCCATTCCTTCATGTAAAACGGCCTTTGGCCCATTTATTTATGTCAGATGGCCTTCAGTCCATTCCTTCATGTCACACGGCCTTTGGCCCATTCATTCATGTCACATGGCCTTCGGCCCATTCAATCATGTCAGACGGCTTTCGGCCCATTCATTCATATCAGATGGATTTTGGCCCATTCATTCATGTCAGACGGCCTTCTGCCCATTCATTCATGTCAGACGGCCTTTGGCCCATTCATTCATTTATTCATGTCAAATGGCCTTCGGCCCATTCATTCTTTCATTCATGTCAAACGGCCTTCAGTCCAATCAATTGTATCCAACGGCCTTTGGCCTAACCATATGGCATAGCAAACGTTTGTCCACAATTCAAATTAATAAACTTATAAGACTTATAGGGAAATAAGCAATTGGACAAATAACATACTTCAAAATATCTTTATTATAATATTACTCACAGTCTTCTGCAGGCGGATTTGCCCTGGAGCTCGACCCTACACATTGGGTCACAAACAATTCAATCTGTTCTTAATTCATACATCACTCTTAGGCTTCTTTCTTATCCTTTAACTCATTTTATGATGCTCAATGTATGCCTAAGAGGGCTTAAAAATGAAAGAGAATGGAAAATGAAACACAGAATACCTTTACAAAATTTTTAAAATAGGGGTCCCCGCTCGAGCGTGGACTTGGCCGCTCGAGCGGACCCATTAGGTCTGCAAAAGTACTAGTTGCCTCATTTTTACGCTCGAGCGTGAATTCGGACGCTCGAGCTAAAAGTCACTCTACATAGCTCCCCGCTCGAGCGTGAATGTCCCCGCTCGAGCGAACATCACTGACTGCAAAACTGCTGGGAGCTTGCATTTCACGCTCGAGCGGCGCTTTCCCCGCTCGAGCGGACATGCCATATTCTGGGTTTTTCCAACAACCATTTGAACTTCAAACTTGACATTCAAACTTATGTTTCTTGCATATGATGACTCATAACTCTCATATACATTTATTAACATGATACAAACACCAAATTTCATCATTATGAGGTTCAATTCCCATGAATCAATTACATGCATGCCTCAAATTATTCCAAACTCATCACCAACATAATGAATTCATGCATTCAAAACTCATACTCTTATGAATTGTACATGCATGTGAGATATAGCTCTCATTCTCAATTTAAATTATGAAGAAATGATCAAAGGCATGAACTTCAAGCAAAGATTCAACATGGATCATGTATTTCATGCTCAAACATACAAATTCATGGCAATTCCTTTCATGCATGCATTCTTTGACTTCAAACTCATCAATTACAACACAATTCTTGTTCTTAATCACATATTCTCTTTGAATTTACATGATTACAAACTCAAATTCATGAATTAAGGGTTGATCACTCACCTAGGAGCTTCAATTCTTCCAATTATAGCTAACTCTCGAGCTAATCCTCTTAGTCTCTTGAATTCTCTAGCAATTCTTCAATGTTGGCCCCTCTCGCTCACTAGATCCGGCCCTCTCTCTCCCTAGAGAGCTAATCTCAGCCAAATGAGTGAAATGAACTCAAAAACAAATGAATGTGAGTGTAATGCCCCATTTTTATAGTCTCTCACTTAATCAAATTGATTAAGGTTAATAATAGTGCTTAATTAATTGTTCTGAATCTAATTATTTTGATCCGAATCAATTTCAATTAAATTTCACCGTAGGCTTTAAAAATTATGCCAATCACAATGGCGTAGTCAATTTCGGGTTTTGTGGCCGATAGGGCCTTCAATTTAAATTCTGAAGCAGATAATCAAACAGATTTTCCTATGGTGAACAAATAGAAATTCAAGACCACATATATTCATATAAATGGCACTCAAAATCATATCAAACACATAATCACAATCACAATTAAGATTAATTAGCATAATACGGACCAGGGTTATCACAATTTTCTTGATTAAAGACCTTAGGTAAGTGATTAGCTCACAATTTATGAATTAGAGTCATCAAATGTATGAATTTAAGGAGATAATGAGTTTAAATACAAGAATTAAGCTTAGAATGAAGAATTGAAGGTTAATTCATACATGCATGCATAATTTAGTAGAGTTTCATGATTTTGAGCATAATTCATGTCATCCATGTTGAAATTAGAAGTTATATCATACATGCACTCATGATTCATAAGGGTTTGAAGTTGGATTTCATGTCGTTGTAAACTTTGGAAAGGAATTTGAAGTTAAATGTCACATGCATGATCATTTGAGTTTGAATTCATGAAGTCTGACCACGAGGTTTGTGAATTGGTCATGTATCCAAGTTTATAAAAGAGTTTGAAGTGTTTAAGAGGTTGTGTACGAGCCATGCAAGTCCACGATTTGAAACTATGTGTTTTGAAGCTCAACTCTATTCTAGAAACTTCAAAATTCTGTCTCACCACTTGAGCAAACAATCAGTCGCTCGAGTGCACATCTCATGCAACCAGTAGTTTTGCAGACATTTGCATGGCTCAAGTGACAAAGTCACCACTAGAGAGAGCACCTTTTATTTTGCACCTTGGCTCGAGCAAACATTTAGCCTAGATTTAGACCGTCCAGTACTTTTGCAGACCATGTGGTCCACTCAAGCGACCAATGTTACGCTCGAGCAAAGTGTCCTATTTCAACGTATTTTGAAAAGTCATGTTTTATCCATTTTGGCATTCTCATCCCTTTCTAAACATTCTTAGGCATGAATTGAACCTCCTAAATGAATGTATGGGTTAGAATAAGACTTAAAAGAATTGAATAAGTTAAAGAACAATCCGGTTAAGCAATGTAATTCAATGTGAGTATGTTTATAATGTGTAGGACCATCCGCGAGGATGTGTCAGGAACCAAATGACTGTGAGTAATATCTTAATAAAGATATTTTATTGTTTACTCTATTTTCTAAATGTCCTAATATAAGTTTTTCCAAAACTATGATTTTGCAAGTATGAATGAGTTTATATCTATCTGATCAACATGATATCTGCAAATGTGTTTGATGAAATGTGAACGTATATGATGGACCTAAGGTTGTTCTGTATATCTGAAATAGACCCGAGGTCGTTTTGTATATTTGACAAGATGGACCCAAGGCCATTCTGAATATCTGATAAGTTTGATTATCTGTTATGAGTTGATCGAATGGTCATTATACAGCTGTAAATGATTGGACCTAAGGTCTTTCCGTTCAAATATGATCAATTTTGTTCTGTACATTTCTTATACGTTGGACCCGAGGTCGTTCCGCCATCTGTTGGACCTAAGGTCGTTCCGTTATGAATTGTTTGTGATATGGAAATGCTTATATTATTTAATAGAACTCATTCATATAACCTCTTTACTTTGATATTATTCACTGGGTTTTCGCTCATTCCGTTATATATATGATGTAGGTGAGCAGCGGGATATCCAGCCCTAGTGAACCTGTGAAAAAATTACCGAGTTTTGTGGAGTCAACCAAGGATGCCTTACACATGAGGCTTTTATCTTTTGTTTTGTTTTTATTGGTCATACTTGACCATTTTTTTGTTTTTAAGAAGTTTAAGTTTTGTAAAATCATGAATAATACTTTTGTGTTTAAATCTTTGTACCGCCGGTCTGAAATGAATGTTTAAACAAGGTGTGTTGTATGATTGTGAATTATTAACATATAAGATGTTTTTGTTTATGCCATATATGTATAGCTCATTGGGCAAAACTTTATTATTCAACTTCCGCTTCTAGCCCCATATAATTAATTATGATTAGATTTTTGTCGGTGAAAGACACAAATCATGGAAGGTTTTGCTCCTTGAAATTATATGCAAATGTTTGTAAGAAGGCAATTGTACTTAGTTTTGGAAGAAATGTTCTTTTGAAAAGCTGTACTCTTTGTCAAATAATTAAAAATGTAATTAAAAACGATGTATGTTTCATTTCATATAGTTATGCACCGTTCAGAATGGATTTGCAAATGGACTCACTTAAATAAATTAATGGCTTTTGCAACTCAAAATTAAAATTTGCCCCAACTATTGCTAGAGTCCGACTTGTTTTGTAAGTTAGGCCTTTGGTAGTCCATGACTACCGGCCGATCACTGCACTGTCCTGTTTGGCATAGGATGGCGTCGTGACAATAAAAGCATAATAAAAAGAAAAGATAAAACATAAGAATACCGTTGTACATAATTTCTAAAAGAATTGTAAGGTTTTCCTTCTATGAATGAGGGGATGATGACATTTTGTTGAACACTAGCAAAATGAATGGTGCCATGATACAACAAGTTCCAATATTTGTCATCGTTTCATTAATGGCATACTCAATTCTCACCATTATTATTTGACACAAAATTAATAATATAATATGAATATAAGCACAACGACTTCTCTTTCAAAACATCTAACGACATTAACAATGTGGATTACCATATTGTAGAGCTCCACAAGCATCCCAGAAACCTTCTTCCATCTTTGAAGACTTATTATATATCCATTGGTCAGAAATATTTAGCATTCCTAGTATCAGATTAGTCATCATTTTGGACCAAAACCGAACCACTTTGCCAGGAAGAATTTATTCTTTCCACGAGGGGCCTCAGCTGCTTGCATTGTTGCCGTTGTAGGAGCATTAGGTTTAGCTGCTGGGAGAGAGAAACTAGTGTTAAACTAAATCAAGTGGTTATGCTCCACATAAATGAGAATAAGATAAGATCTTCATGGAAAACAATGATCACTGGTTGCGCATATCGTTGTATAAACTCTTTAAGTGCTTGCAAGAAGGTTGATTGACTAATAGCTTCTAATTCAACTTTGTTTATAACACTATATTATACATTTATGTTATTAACTAGTACTAAAGAAACATATGGATGCTAAGGAGCAGCATATGTTCGCACATATTTTGGCTTCACTTTCTATTCAAAAAGAAATCCAATATAGCTTCTTAACCCATTCCACTGGCCAATGAATGTCATTTTGTTTTCTTTACTTCAAGTTCCCTTGAAAAGCATCTAAATGTTTTTCCCGAAGAGGACACATCCGTTATTCTAAAAGCTCATTAACAGGATAGGCTTTTATACAAAATCTACAGTGTGCAGTAATATGTATATATATATATATATAAGCCAAATACTTACATGTCCATAATTTTCATTTTCTTTTAAATTTCATATCTAAAACTAGTATCAAGTGCTAAGAAGCATGGACACTTTGAAGAAAGTGGCGTATTCGTGTCGGACACTTCCCAACACGTGCTTGACACTTGTAAAAACATGTCCTATTTTTCAAAAATTAAAAAAAAATAATAATTAGATTTGGACACTCTTCATTCTTCAATCCGCCAATCTGCCCCAAACCGCCCAAGCCGCATTTTGGTTATTTTCCAATCCGCTAATCCGCCTTTTGGTTTATAATTTTATTCTCAAACCGCCCGAAACACACCGCATACAACCCTTTGTGTCCATTGCTTAAACACACGTATCCACCAATTAAACCGACATGAAACCAATTATTAGTTTGAACTAAATGACTTGGGATACAATAACAAAAGAAAAAACAATGTAAATTTATAAAATAAGTGTTATATTATATTTTTGTATTATCTTTGAATGATGTATTCACATATATATAAAAAAAGCAACGCCCAATTAGTACACATTAATGTGTGTTTGGGAGGGGAAAGATTGGGTACACACCTAACCTTTTAGCATAATGCACAAAGTGGTGGCATATATATATATAATATAATAAATATATAAGATTATATAGTTTGTGCGTTTCTCTCACGTATCGTGTCCTGCATATTTTGAAAATTGGCGTGTTGGCGTGTCTGTGTTTGTGTCGTGTCACATGTCCATGTCCATGTCCGTGTCCGTGTCTGTGTCCGTGTCCATGCTTCTTAGATGAAGTGTGTATGCACATTATAAATTTTCCATTCAAGATTGAAAAAATTTGTCTGTCGTGCTTGCCAGTTATTGTGATACAGAAAGCAATTTAAATTGGCATGTACACATCAACTGGTTGCTACAGCGATTTCAAAGAAAAAGTTTATTATTTCTGAAATTTTTTACAAATTTTCCTTGTAGAATAAACATCATAGTGCACTGTAACTATAATCAACAGCACCATAACCAAACTGTCTGCAAATATTTTGCTACCTAATTTGACCATGATATTGTTTTCTGCATAACATCATTCAAAAATTATTTGATTTGTAGCATATCAAGTAGAACTTTTAAAAATGCAACCAATGGTGCCTCACCTATCTAAATGTTCAAGCATGAGATTAGAAGAGGGAAAGAAAATGGAAAACTTAAATATCATGAAAAGGGAAATGAGTGTTTGAGAACGCAAACTGCAATAACCAGTTTCAGCAAGTGCATATTTTATGTACTACTAAATGCAAAAGAACCAAGGATTGGAGGATGTTTATAACATGAATTATATATTTTTAAAGCTAATTTTGAGGAAAAAGGATAAGATCCCTAGCACTAATCACTGTCTTCTTATGTCTGACTAATAAACTAAAAAAGAAACTCCAACTCACATTCAGTAAAAACAAATGGCTAATTACTTGCATGACATTAGTTTCCAAGGTAATTTTGCATCTGAAGTGAAGACAAAAATGACAAAATACCTGAGTTCGGTGATAACATAGTTCTTGTACTTTTGACATCATTAGAATTTTTATCTGAATTTTTTGCACGGTTAGACTTTTTCTCTTGAATCTTGTGCTCCATTGGTGATATACAATCACGACCACCTATGATTACGAAAACAAGAAAGGACGAAGATGCAACACACTCTTTGTAAGTGGAGATCACTTCAGAATAATATGATAGTTGAAGACTGCAAAATATTGGATTCATGCCCCTTTATTTTTAGGTAACACCACCTGTCTACATTTGTTGAGTGTTTTCCAAGAAAACGAAAATGAAAGCAATAGGCAGATTATACAAAACTCTGAAAAGTGAAATCTGAATTTTGTGAGATATGAGCATAACACAACTGCAATGAACTTGTTCCATACTTCAACAGTGTTTTGCGGATAAAAAGACACAAGGTTCAAGCTTACATAAATCATTTTAGACAAATCAACTCCAACAAAGCCTTCTTGTAACTGTTCGGGTTTCGATAGATGAATTGTTTCTCAATGTTGGTAAGGATGAATTGCATTTCGTGGTAAACTACTGGCTTTGGAAATCACAATTGGTAAAACTAACATAGTTCATGTCGAACTTGTGAAAGGTATCAGTTTTATTCATCACCATCCAACTAGAGATGAAGATCAAAATGCATGAGAAACGCTCAAATTCCAAAAAGCAAGACAATCCAATTAAGATTCTTTTTATGAAGTACAGACAACTCACCCTCATTAGGAGGTTTCCCATAGTTGTGCTGCAAAGCTTCAAAGAAAGAAACATCTCTTTGATCTTGCATCACTGAGAAAAGTACCAAAATATTAGATATTTAATCCAACATACTGGTTGTTATGAGAAGCAGAAAAGCGTACATTGATCATAAAGTTCATTTCGATAATTGGGGGCAGAGCCAACTGACAACAACTGGATCGCTTCTGCATCTCTAGTCATAGACAATTTATCAGACGTGTTCAAATTTTGTGTGTCAAGTAAAATACCTGCAAGCTGAGAAACAACATAGTAGTAAGACCTCTGAAAAAGCAAGCTAGTTTTTTTAACATTTGAAGCAAAAAGTTTGTTTTTTCCTTCCTCATCTTCGTCGGAATGAGAAAGAATTGATTAACAAAAAAACATGAAATAGCAAAGATGACATAAATTTATGTAATTTACCAGAAGTTTTTTCAGGATTGGGGTCTGAAGTATGTCATAAGCATCTTCACAATAATTGTCTGTAAGAATGGTGCACTGAGATCCAACCTAGAGATGCGATAGAAAACATATACCAAGAATGCATAAAATCAATTTTGACAATGTTTGTTGATAGAAAACATGTGTCTTCATACTTTGATTTTAAACTATACCAACCTCGCCATTTGTTTTGAGGATATCTTGCCCAACAACAAGGATGCTCAGCTGCTTAGCCATCATTAGTGTTTCCAAATCCACCTGATTCATATTGTAATAACAATGTAAACACTTGTTCACAATTATTTACTCTGCAACAGAAATATGAAATTGGTAAACAATAAATGGCTCTAATGTTCATGCTAATATAACCTTGAAGTCAGTGATTCTATTCTATATAGTAAAGCAGTTGATAGAAAAGATGTTGAACCGAAAAATTCTTCAAATAGGACTTGGTAACTATCCTCAGTTCAAAAGCAGTCTAAAGACATTGACTTAACTCTGGGAATGCAATGATCATTACTCAATCATAATTTACATTCTGGTATTATGTAGCTTTTATGCTATTAGTGCTAGACACTGCATTTCTTGATGCTATTTCTTTAATGAAAAAAAGCATTGATCTCTCAGTTAGTACACATTAATGTGTGTTTGGGAGAGGAAAGATTGAGTACACACCTAACCTTTGGCATAAAGCACAAAGTGGTGGTCTCAAAACTTGAATCCATAACCTCAAGGTTATTAGGTCAAGTCTTAACCATTGAACCAATAGTCACCCCTTCATTGATCTCTCAATTAATTTTCATTTTTTTCCTTCTATTTTTCTTCTTGTCCAACTGCACATTTCACATTAGTACAAAACTGTTACAGATACACACAATCAATAATCACTCTCCAGTACATACAACAATTGTCATCTTTCAAGGGATGTGTTTCCTTCTAGTAAAAATATACTTAAATTGCGCATACTGAAATCTAGTGATTTCTTCATCTTCACGACAAATTTCAATTATCAAATCGAATTTAACAAAACATCAATAAATAATAGAAAGTGAACAACATACTGAATTCAAATTGAGCCAATTCAAGGACACTAATTACAATCCTACAACTTCAATGCTTTGGTGTAGGTCCTACTAAGGTTCAAATTTTACCTAAGAACTGGAAACAAATTATGTTATAAATAAATTAACTGGCAGACATAGATGACCTATTAGTCAATAAGAGCAAGTACCTCATCAGAAAAGAGCAATGAAGTGGCATCAAGTCCGACATGGTGAAAAAGCCAAGCCACCTGTTGCTGCTTCCACATTTTCCCCCTCCTCATATTCATCACTGGCGCCACCACTGCTGTTGGGCCGCTATCTCCCTCAACTCCCTCCTTATTAGTCCTCATTCTATTATCCAATAGCCACGCATAGCAAATTGCTGCCACCATTGAACTCGTACCTGCAATGCCAACACTAATTAGACCCAACCATGATACAAAAAGAAACCCAATAACCCAAAATCAAAATTAAGGCCTCGTTTGGGAACAGGCTAATTTAGTAACTTTTTGGCTATTTGGCTGAAAAGGGAGGTAAAAAAAACTTGTATGTTTGGGATGACTTTTTGGCTAATTACGAAAAGATGTGCAAAAAGTAGAGAGAAAAGAGAATCTTTGACTTTTTGGTATGGATCCACCATTGAACTCGTACCTGCAATGCCAACACTAATTAGACCCAACCATGATACAAAAAGAAACCCAATAACCCAAAATCAAAATTAAGTAAACTAAAAACTCAACTGTTGGAAGGTCCAGATAGCACAATTTTGGCCTTCCCATCGATCTCTCCATTCAAAATTTTCCCAATCTTGATCCCTTGTTCTTTCAGAAACCCATTAAGGTTTCCGGCTTGGTCGACCACCTCATGCTCCTTCAGCTCTTCAGTTACGCTAGGCTTCCATGAAATCTTGTCCGCGATACACGTGGACGACGAGATCGACCTTCGGTGAGCAGACTCCACCAAGTTCTTGGGAGGCGACAGGATTAGACCATCTGACAATAAGCAGGTGGAGGAGGAAATCGATCTCCGATGAGCCGATTCAATGAGGTTCTTCGGCGGAGACAACAACTGGGTTTCCGGCGGAGTGTCGGCAGTGGTGGTGGTTTTGAAGGTTCGTTTGGAAAGGTGGGATGGGATCCCCTGTGGCTGCTGTTGGGTGGCATTGGGGGGGTTGGTGTTCTTCTGGAAGCGGGACTTGCGGGGGGTTAATTGTCGCGGTGGAAGTGGTGGAGCCGTCGGATTTTGGGCGGTAGTGTCGTTGTTGGGTTGGGAGAGTGGTGATGATGAGGAATGGACGGTATTAGGGGATTTGAGGATGTTGGAGAACCATTTGTGGACCGCTGAAGCAGGGGAGATATCGGCGGCAGAAGGTGGTTGGTCCAAGGTTTCCGATTTGTTGCGGTTGTGCTTTGCTGATTTCGTTAGGATTTCTCCGCTGAAGCTTTCCACTGCTCTGTGTCTGTTAAACTGTTAGTAGTAGTGGTGTGAAGCAGTGATTGGCACCCCCCAGTAGGAGGCGCCCCAGCACCCCACCTCTACGTGGGGCTGTGGACCAAGGCAAGTCAAAAAAATAAAAAAATAAAAAAAATAAAAAATAAAAAAATAATTTCAACCAATCACATGCTGTCACATCACTGAGGGTCACTGGTCCTTCAAAATTGGATTCCAAAGCATTTTTGGGTATGCTTCTGGTTGGATATTTTGATTGTTTTTTGAACTAATTGTTTAAGACAGTTGGCCGGGTCAACCATATATTAAAACCTTTTGAAATAAAATAAATTTAAAATTTTTTGTTATAAATTCAATATTTATTGAAATTGATCCTATACATCAAAATAGACCCTTTTTTTTTTTTTTTTTTTTTTTTTTTTTTTTTTTCATTGAAATAGATTATATATAATTTGTAAATATTTTTTTCTTTTTGTCAATCCAGTTTTGTTTTTGCCCTTTTTATTTATCCACTTTAATGGTGGATCTCTTATAACCATAACTATTGAATTTTCGTTTTCTGTCTTGTTAAAAAATTTCAATTATTTTATTCCTTATTTATGGGCAGTAAGTGATTTTTTTTTTTTTTTGAAATATTGGATATTTTGATAGAATAATAAAAAAAAAGTTAAATAAAAATACAAAATGAAAAAGAACATTTACAACTTTAACTTTTTTACAATTTAAAAAAAAATTATTTATTTATTCAAAATTCAAATACAAAATATACATTCACAAATAAAATAAAATAAAATAAAGTACCAAACAATCAAAAGAAGAAAAAATATGAAATAAAATAAGGGTAGCTGTGATTTGACTAGAATGTATGTGGTATAAAGTAATATTGTGTATATACATTACAACAAATAAGAGTTTAAGGGGCTAAATTTTTGTTCCCAAAAATAAATCTCTTGTTTGGTTTGTATCTCAAGATATAGTTTTTAAGAAAAATTTTCAAAATTTTGTTAGGTTCAAATTTTTTGAAAATTTTTTTCAAAATCATTTTCTCTCTTCTACACACTATTCAATTACAACAAAATATCAAATCATCTCAAATTCCAAAACTATTTTTAAAATATACAACTTGACATGGGTAAGCCCATAAAGGATATGGCCCACCACCTAAGTTCCAATCCATGATTCAAATACTAAAGCCCAACACTCGTGAAATCCAGCGTTACACCAAACACCAATGACATCTAAACACTTGGCAAGTAGAGAATCACCCACATCAGCAGACAAAGATCTTGCAAAGTTATTGCACCACACATTAGTCATTAATGAGTTTTCCTACAGCATTTATTGCGATAACCCTTCCCTGTCAGGACAGAACGGCCTCACCATGAACAAGGTAAGCTAGAGCATAGACTTTCGGCCAAGGTGACAGGTCGGAAGGGACAACGAAATTATTAGCAGAGGATATAAGCAGGCATCGAAGAGAAGGAAAGGGTTAAGCTTTTCTATCACTAATTTATCTCTACATTTCATCTCTCTTTCTAACTTGCTCATCAGAGGGTTCGCTGGGGGACTCCCCGTTCCCCGTTGAACTCTTGTGCAGGTCTCTCTATGGGCTTGGTACCTCGGGCACCGGTTTGGGAAGCATGGATCAATCCGACCCATTCCATCTGGAACACGCTGTATCATCAGTTAGCGCCGTCTGTGGGAACCCTTTTGCTCCGCGCGCCAGTTGTGCTCATTATCTCCGGAGACCCCTTCTCAATAACCCCTTCCTGCCGCCCACCAAGGTGGATGGTCACAACTAGATCCATGGCTTCTCACAACAATGTTGCCGACCACCAAGCCGACCCTCCCAATCCAAACAACCCGCCGCAGTACTTCACAGAGCTTACCAACAACATCAACCGCTTAGCAGAGCAAAACCAAGCCTTGATCAATGCTTTGCTTCAAAGAGACCTTCCCGTCCCTCCTCTTCCGCCTCAAGATATCCCACCCAACCAAGAATGAGCCCCGAGCCATCCTATCCAACAGCCCTACCCACCTAACTTGGAAGGCTTACGACCCCCTTCCCTCCTGTAGCATTTATTGCGATAATCCTTTCCTGTCGGGACAGAACGGCCTCACCATGAACAAGGTAAGCTAGAGCATAGACTTTCGGCCAAGGTGACAGGTCGGAAAGGACAACGAAATTATTAGCAGAGGATATAAGCAGGCATCGAAGACAAGGAAAGGGTTAAGCTTTTCTATCACTAATTTATCTCTACATTTCATCTCTCTTTCTAACTTGCTCATCGGACGGTTCGCTGGGGGACTCCCCGTTCCCCGTTGAACTCTTGTGCAAGTCTCTTTATAGGCTTGGTACCTCGGGCACCGGTTTGGGAAGCATGGATCAATCCGACCCATTCCATCTGGAACACGCTGTATCATCAGCTGGCGCCGTCTATGGGAACCCTTTTGCTCCGCGCGCCAAGTGTGCTCATTATCTCCGGAGACCCCTTCTCAATAACCCCTTCCTGCCGCCCACCAAGGTGGATGGCCACAACTAGATCCAAGGCTTCTCACCACAATGTTGCCGACCACTAAGCCGACCCTCCCAATCCAAACAACCCGTCGCAGTACTTCACAGAACTTACCAACAGCATCAACCGCTTAGCAGAGCAAAACCAAACCCTGATCAATGCTTTGTTTCAAAGAGACCTTCCCGTCCCTCCTCCTCCACCGCAAGATATCCCATCCAACCAAGAACGAGCCTTGAGCCATCCTATCCAACAGCCCTACCCACGTAACTTGGAAGGCTTATAACCCCCGCCCCCAGATATGAACCCGCTGCCCCAAGCCCCACATCCATCGATTCAGGCATCCACCCCCGAGGGAGAGGCCACTAGTGTCCAGGCTCCGCTGCATTCTGATGGTGACAACGTTCCTCTCTGGGACGCAGAATTCCGAGCCATGAAGCTCCAGCTCTAAGGAGTCATATAGAACATACAGAATAAACCAGCTACCACAGCCAACTCACTGTTTGTTGCCTCCATCAGGGACAAACCCTTACCTCCTGAGTTCAAAATGCCCTCGCTCGACTCTTTCGACGGCACAACGGACCCGGTCGACCATTTAGAAACTTACACAACCCTCATGGTCCTCCATGCATTCCCTGACGAGATCATGTGTCGAGCTTTCCCCGAAACACTCAACGGGTCGGCTCGACTCTGGTTTAGTCAACTGCCAACAGACTCTGTCTCCACTTTCCAGCACCTAAGTGACTCCTTTCTCAACCATTTCATTGGTACCTAACGCCAGCGGTGTCCGGCAACCCAGCTCCTCAACATTCGTCAGACCAAGGGGGAGTCGTTGCGCAGCTTCGTCACCCGCTTCAACACCGAAGCCCTACAAGTAGCGGAAAATGACGACAAGGTCATCCTCACAGCTTTCATGATCGGTTTACGATCATCTGATTTCCTTTTTTCTCTCTCCAAAAACCCCCCAACCTCCATGGCAACCCTACTTTCCAAAGCCCAAAAATACATGAACGTCGAAGATTCCCTAGCCGGCTGCCAAGATCCTACAACAAAAAACCCGACCCCCAGAGAGAAGAGAAAGGTCTCTGAAACCAGGAGCACCCAGTACACTTACCAAACACCTCAGTATACCGACCGACCAGCCCGAGTCGACCGGTCGGCACCAACTCGACTACCCGATCGATTCGAATGATATACACCCTCAATTCCCCATGGAACAAGTCCTGAACCAGATCCAACGAGATTATCTCCTAAAATGGCCCCAACCGTCACGGTCTCCTTCCAACCGGTGAGACCAGTCCAAATATTGCCGCTTTCATCAGAACCACGGCCATAATACGAAGGAGTGTGTTAACCTCAAAGACCAAGTCGAGGGCTTGATACGTCAGGGACGTCTCAGTCGGTTCACGACAGCCCGCCCTCAGCAAAGGCAAAGGACTGAACCTATCAGAAATAACCACCGGCGCACCCCTCCGCGACAACTCGCACAACCTAACCAAGGTCATGATCGGCCTCCACAGCAACCCCGGGCACAAGGCAACCCTGCCCTCCCTGTTGGAGAGATCGGAGTTATTGCTGGCGAGCTTGCTTGTGGAGGACCATCCCGCTCGGCTCAGCTGGCAGAACTCAGAAAAATAAGGCAAGGCTTAGATAAAGAAGTTGCCACATTGGACCGCCCTTCCAAACAGCCCAAGCAGTGGATGGAACCCATCACCTTTACGGAGGCCGACTACACAGGCATCCGTTACCCCCATAACGACCCCCTCATCATTTCTACCCTCCCCTCCAATTACAAAGTCAGACAGGTTCTCGTCAACAACGGTAGTTCTTCATACATCATCTTCCTAAATGTCTTTCGCCAGCTCAAGGTCGGGGAAGAAAGTATGTCCCCTTTCCAAATCCCATTGGTCGGTTTTACTGGAGATCGGGTGACCTCCATAGGCTCCATCGATCTTCCCATCACAATTGGAGAATACCTGCAGCAGACCACAAAGTTGCTTATTTTCCTCGTCGTCGACTGTCCCTCTGCTTACAACATTATCCTCGGCCGCACCGCTCTAAATACTTTCGAAGCTGTCACATCCACTATCTATCTTGCCGTCAAATTCCCCACCGACCTTGGGGTCGGCACGGCGAGGGGAGAGTAGACCGTGGCCAAAGAATGTTACGTCGCTTCACTTAAAGAGGTCAAGCTAAAGGAGGCCATGATCATTGAAGGACTCGACGTCTGAGACGAAGACGAGCTGGTCAGAGGGGAACCAGTGGAAGAGCTTGTCGAGGTCCTCATCGATCCCATCAACCCAACAAAAACAGCCAAGATCGGCAACCAACTATCCCCTCAAGCCAAGGCCGATCTTACAACCCTCCTGACTTAACACAATGATGTGTTTTCTAGACCCATTCTGACATGCCAGGTATCGATCCTTCCTTCATCGCTCATCATTTGAGTATCGAACCCCATTTCCGATCCTTTCGCCATAAACAGCGCATCTTCTAC